CGTTACTTGAAAAGCGTTACTTTAACGTTGTTAAAGCAGTTGATTTTGCAAGAATTTGTAACGTTGGTAGTAAAACGTCGATTTAACGTGACTCAAAGAAGTCGAGTAAAGGTTGAAATATAACGTTAAATTAACGCTCAAATGCGCTGGAGAAAATATCGCAAAATATTATTAAACGTGATTAAACTTGGCTATAATGTATATTGAATTTGCAAATAAAACAAAGTTGTATGTTGAACTCTGCACTTGCAAGATTTCCGAAGTCGATTTTTAATACAAATAGTAATATACAATCAAAAACATAAAAAATATACAATTTATTTATATGAAATTTACAATTTATAGATAAAAATACAAACATCTTTTTAAAGATTTATGTGAGTGAGTGAATTTACAGGATTTACGTGTGTGAGTAAAATTTATGTGTGTGAGTGGATTTACAGGATATCCTATCGATAAGCCAGGATATCATTGAAATACAGAATCTAAATCAAAATATTAAACTTGTATCATTATCAATCTGAAAATAAATGTTTAAAAAATGTTATTGAATTAGTATGATTATTATTAAATTTAAAAAGTAAAAATAAATATATATATATATATATATATATATATATATATATATATATATATATATATATATATATATATATATATATATATATATATATATATATATATATATATATATATATATATATATATATATATATATATATATATATATACTGTGATTGTCGTAATAGCATAAAATAAGTAATTGTTTTTAAAAATAACACGACTTTTTTATTCTTGAAATATTTTGTAGTAAACAACTGGGTTGATATTTGACTGGGGTCGGGGCCGGGTTTAATAAAATTTAGCCGGAGCCGGGGCCGGGTTTGAGTCCAGGCTGCATAAACATTTATACATCGTAAAGTATATTTTTTAAACTTAAAATTCATGCTATATTTTGTATATATATGCATATATGAACATCATTGTAATCATCATGATCATCATAGTCATCATAACCATCATCATCACCATCATCATCATCATCATCATCATCATCATCATCATCATCATCATCATCATCATCATCATCATCATCATCATAATAATTATCATGATCATCATTATCATCAACAACATAAAAGCGGAAAGCTTGACAATGATAATAAAAATTATGATGATGTTGTTGATCGTCATCATGATAATCATCATCATCTTTATTATGGCACACTCTTCAAATTTTCTTACTTCTACCACAACCATTTTATACTGAAGCTGCTACCACTCTACATGTTAATACCTGAACTACTTTAACTTTTTCTAAAAAAAAAGGTTGTTTGATACAACGTTTTTTCTAATCTGTCTAAGATTATGCCTACTTTTTATATCTTGTTAGAGTCACAACACACATCCATTTGATCATTTTCTCTTTCAGCAAATACTACACCATATAAATACTAAAGTTTATACAACAATGAAAGGATATTGTATGCCAGCATCTAAACAAATAGCTAACTTAAAAATGTCCAAATTTGGCCACTGACTGAGCTGAAATTTATTCTGTATAAATATACTTTTATATATTTATGTTTGTTTTGAGCAATTTTTAACAATCTTTAATCATTTTTCTCAACTTATAAAATGAAAACAATTTAAAAAGTTAGAAGATTGGTGTATTTTAAGTTACTAATGAGGAAAAAAAAAATTTTAAATTATTTTTAAATGCAGGTTGGAGATAAATTTCTCTTTAAAATTCAGAAAACTCCTGTCAAATGGGAGAGACTTCATAGGTCTGTAAACAGATACTTAATAAAACTAATATACAAACTCTTAATAAAATAATAAACTAATGTTAAACAATATAAATATTAAATTCCTCATAAAATATTAAGCAATATATATATATATATATATATATATATATATATATATATATATATATATATATATATATATATATATATATATATATATATATGTATGTATATATATATATGTATATATATACATATATATATATATATATATATATATATATATATATATATATATATATATATATATATATATATATATATATATATATATATATATATTATATATATATATATATATATATATATACACATATATTTTAGTAAATGGTACTTGGAAACTTAAATCTTTGTTAGTCACAAAAAAAGTGCTGTTAACGTAATTAAATTGAGTTTTTTTTTTTTGCAACAAGTAGTTTTTTTTTGTAATATTTTTTTTATTTTTGAAAATTCAAAAAATCAACATAATTTATAATTTATACAAATGTCAAGAAAAGAAAAAATTGTTTATGTATAATATATATATCTGTACCTCAGAGGTCAACTATATTAACTCACATTTGAAAAACTAAAAAAAATTGATACAAAATAGACATTCCACAATATGTACATTTACAAAATAACACAGCTATATTTGTTTTTCTTAATTAGTTTTAAAAAGTTAAACTTGTTTTACGGTAATTTATTTTGCAGTAGTTTAAAAAATGTTAATGTTCCTAAATGAAAAAAAAAAAAATTAAGATAGTTTTATGGCGTCAAAATCACTATGAACTAATGTGCTGTCGTTTTTATTTAAAACAAGGCCTGTGGTTTGTGAGTTTAAATGGTATTTTTGATGTTTTTGTACTTGTAGAATTCTCTAGTCTACAAGCTTAAAAAATATATAAATATATAAAAATATAGTAGATTTTGCAACTGTGCGATAATTAAAGAGATTTAATAGTGGAGTTAAATATTTTAAACTTTTTATTCCACTATTAAAATTGATTATTTTTTCGTTTCAAAAGCACATTTCCAGCGGGCACAGACGTCAATCAAACGTCTTACGGACGTCTTAACTAGGTCGCGACGTCTCAGACCAAATTAGGACGTCCTAAAGACGTCTGGTAAAGACGTCTTTGTTAGGACGTCCTTGTGACGTTAATATAAAGACGATATCAGAACTTCAATATTTAGACGTCCTATTGACGTCGCTAAGACCTACATAAGACGTCTTAATTACCTTAAAAGTAAGTAAAAAAATTAATACTATTAACTTGGCGCATACAATAATATGTCCAAACTCGGTTATTTAAATATGTTTACTTGTTTTGGTTGATTATTTTAAGGCTATTATTTTGTTTAGTTATTTATCGATTAAAGATATTTTTTAATTTTCTATATTCTATACTCTATGATCTATAAACTATAATCGATACAATACATCGATACACACACACACACACACACACACACACACACACACACATATATAAAAATCCATTTATATATATATATATATATATATATATATATATATATATATATATATATATATATATATATATATATATATATATATATATATATATATATATATATATATATATGTATATATATATATATATATATATATATATATATATATATATATATATATATATATATATATATATATATATATATATATATATATATATGAATTTATCTTTATATTTACATTCATCTATATATTTACACTTTATATTTACATTTATCAATACACAAACATGCACAAACTTACACACACACACACACACACACACACACACACACACACACGCACACACACACACACACACATATATATATATATATTATAATATATATATATATATATATATATATATATATATATATATATATATATATATATATATATATATATATATATGAATTTATCTTTATATTTACATTCATCTATATATTTACACTTTATATTTACATTTATCAATACACAAACATGCACAAACTTACACACACACACACACACACACACACGCGCACACACACACACACACACACACACACACGCGCACACACACACACACACACACACATATATATATATATATATTATATATATATATATATATATATATATATATATATATATATATATATATATATATATATATATATATATATATATATATATATATATATATATATATATTATTATAAACATCAATAAATACGATTTTCTCTCAATACTAAATTTATTTTTTATTTTTTAAAAGAAATTTTCGCTGGATTGTTGTGACCAGCGTCTTCAGCTTAAAAGATTTTGTTTATTTTTGTTTATATGTTATTTTTAAACGGCAATTTTATTATATGTCAATAGAATGGTTTCGTCTTTTTCTGACGTAAGTGCATTAGAAATGGTGTCCAGAATTTTGTTGACATATATTGTCCCTCATCTAAATTGATACTACTTTGTTGAGGGGCACATTGGTGGTACTGTATTTCAAACGTCTCACGAACTTTCCTATCAAACTTTTTGTTATTGACTTTTAGAGTTCTGCAACTGTCCCAGTTAATTTGTTGTGCACAATGTTTCATGTGTGTGGCTAATGCTGATCTTTGTGTTTTATTTCCTATTGTACTGTTTTTGTGTTGTTGCTCACGTGTTTTTATTTGCATTTTTGTTTCACCAATATACTTTTTGTTACAATGGCACTTAATAAGGTAAACTTCTGGGTGGCTGTTTCTTTGTAGTTTGGATTTATTTCTTGAATTATTTTTCTTGAAAGTGCCAAAAATTAGGTACGTGAGTAAAAATTTCAAATTGTCTAAATATTCTACTGTTATATATCATTGGAAAGAGAATCAATACAGTATTTTAAAGGTGAAAAAATTTTAAAAATCGAACATTTGGTTCAAAAGTTATGACGGTTTAAGTACCGATTTTTTGATATATGGAATTGTTGAAGAAACTGTGGTCAAAATTATGTTTTTCCTCACTTAAATTGTCATAACTTTCTTAATTATTATCAAAATACAAATATCTTGGTGTCAAAAGATAGGTGTGAGAGTGGGCTACAAATTTTTGTTGAACTCTAACCACCGGGTGTATCGGATGGACAGAGGGGGCACCAAACCACTACCTTACCCAAATGAAACTGAACATTTTTTTCAGAAAAAAAGTTTTTTTCAAGACATAAGTAATTAAAATATACAAAAAAAGTTGTTATAAAATTATATTAAACCACCGATTATATGAGAGGCGTATGTTAACGATGGAGGTGGGTGCGGTGGTGATGGTTTGATACACCCTAGCATCAAAAATAACTTGTTTTCATTAAAATTTTTATCTTTACTACATTGAAATCAATAGTATACATAATAAAATTATATTTTACAGGAATTCAAATACACAACTTGCATTGATGTACGGAAGGGGCGTGTAACCCCCCCCCAACCTAAAAAATAAAAAATAAAAATAGATAACAGAGAGACAAGTTAAAAAAATATAAAACTCAAAATTTAAAATCATACTATATAGTAAACCCTACCAGTTGGAACAGATGAAGATGTCACTTAAAAAGAAATAACAAAGCATTTTACATAATCTTAAAAATAAATTTTATTTAAACTCATATTGCAGAGTTGAAACATATACACTAACCAGTTGGAGTAGATGATGATGGCACTAAAAAAGAAATAAGAAAGCATTATATACAATCTTAAAAATAAGTTTTATTTAAAATCATATTGCAGAGTTGAATCATATATACTAACCAGTTGGAGTAGATGATGATGGCACTAAAAAAAAATCAAGAAACATTTAACACAATCTTAAAAATAAATTTTATTTAAAATCATATTGCAGAGTTGAAACATATATACTAACCAGTTAGAGCAGATGATGATGGCACTATAAAAGAAATAAAAAAGCATTATACACAATCTTAAAAATAAATTTTATTTAAAATCATATTGCAGAGTTAAAACATATATACTAACCAGTTGGAGTAGATGATGATGGCACTAAAAAAGAAATAAAAAAGCATTTTACACAATCTTAAAAATAAATTTTATTTAAAATCATATTGCAGAGTTAAAACATATATACTAACCAGTTGGAGTAGATGATGATGGCACTAAAAAAGAATTAAAAAAGCATTTTACACAATCTTAAAAATAAATTTTATTTATAATCGTATTGCAGAGTTAAAACATATATACTAACCAGTTGGAGCAGATGAAGATGCCACTAAAAAAGAAATAAAAAAGTATTTTACACAATCTTAATAACAAATTCTATTTAAAATCATATTGCAGAGTTAAAACATATATACTAACCAGTTGAAGTAGATGATGATGGCACTAAAAAAGAAATAAAAAAGCATTTTAAACAATCTTAAAAATAAATTTTATTTATAATCATATTGCAGAGTTAAAACATATATACTAACCAGTTGGAGCAGATGAAGATGCCACTAAAAAAGAAATAAAAAAGTATTTTACACAATCTTAATAACAAATTCTATTTAAAATCATATTGCAGAGTTAAAACATATATACTAACCAGTTGGAGCAGATGAAGATGCCACTAAAAAAGAAATAAAAAAGTATTTTACACAATCTTAATAACAAATTCTATTTAAAATCATATTGCAGAGTTAAAACATATATACTAACCAGTTGGAGTAGATGATGATGGCACTAAAAAAGAAATGAAAAAGCATTTTACACAATCTTATTGCAAATCATATTGCAAAGCAAAAATATACAACCTTACCAGTTAGATCAGTGGAAGGTGGAACTAAAAAATTGAAAACATAATACAAACAAAAATCTTTAAATTATTTTGCTTTTAAAAAATGCTGCAAAATTATAATATATTTATTCTTACCAGCTGAAACAGATAATGGTGGTACTAAAAAGAAAAAATCATAATAATTTATTATTTTCATAATTACCTTGCTATGAAAGTCTTATTACAAAGTTAAAATAAATAAACTTACCAGTTGGATTAGTATAAAATATATTGTATGATTTTTTTTATTAAATCATGTTACAAAGTAAAAAAATACAATTTTTAAATAACTTTAAAATATGGAAGCATATAATACACATACCAATCTTGAAGTTATTATTAAAATTTGAATATTAAAAATATATTAAAAAGTTAAAATAAAAAAACCTTACCAGATAGAGCAGCTATAGATGATACTTCAATACTGCAATAATACACAAAATCAAACTATATTTCTCAATACTTAAACATAAAAATACACCTTAATCTCTTACCAATTAATGAAGTAAGTGTTGCTAAAGAATTAAAAGGAAAAAATAGTAACAATAGTAATAACAATAGTTTACTAAAATAAACTTAATTTCAAGTTACACTTTTCGTTACATCTTTAGTTAGCGTGTGTCAATAGAGTAAACAGCTTTAACGTGTATCAATTATATAATAATCTTAGCATGAATCATTAAACTATACTATTGAAATCGTTAAAATTTACTAAACTTACAAATCTGCTGTCTGAATTCGCATAAAAGCCAATTTAAATATACTAACTTTATTATAAAATTAAATTATCAGACTAACTTTAAAAAAAAAAAAAGTTCAAATGACTAAATAACTAAAATAGTTCCAACTTTACTTACTAATAGTTTGTTCTAAATTGTCTATAGAAAAAAAATAAAAATGACTCAATAAAAAGCAAGAAATAATCAGGAATATACAAAATAAACAACTGTGAAAAAACTTTGTGGATGCACAAAAATCGGTACAAAACACATAGCATAATAAAGATATATAATTTAATATTGAGAGCAAAAGACTAAATACTAAAATAATAAATCGCCAAAAAAAACTGACTTATCCTCTCAAAAGCATCATCTAAACAAAAAATGAAAAACTTTTTTTAGCAAAATAATACAAACATTTGAATAAATCTACTGATCTTAAGTTAAAAGAAACTAATGAATATTTAATGTTTAAAATAACTAACTGATATTGTTGGCTGCTGCCGTAGGACTGCTTTGGGCAGCTAAACAATATAACAAATGTTCTTGATTATTTACGTTACATTTATTATACATAAAAGTTGAATAAGGTTGCTAACATATATTAGTTAAATATGACCATATTTAATTTATATTATTTGTTACAGTTGAAAGATTAACAGTTAATCATTAAAAAAAAAAGATGATTATCGTGCATCTTTTTATAAAAAAGTCTAGGTAAAAACTAGACTTTTTTCTCCAATAACAATTACAATATACTACTTACTGTTGTATCATGATGATACAACAAGACTCTCCAATAACAATTGTAATATACTACTACTAGTAGTAGTTTATTACAATTGTTATTGGAGAGACTAATTGTTGTATCATGATCATCATGATACAACAATTTTTTTAGTGATTACAATGTAAGATAAAATATGTTATAATGTTACTAATATGTCAGTTACATTTTTAAAAAATTCAACTTTCAAGTAAGGAAACATTAAAATTCAGTTAAATTAAATTATTTGCCTTCAATGTAAAGTTAATAAGTTTCAATAACTTTACATTGAAGGCAAATAACTTTTTTTAAATTTTAATAAATAGGAAACAATATTGTAAACCTTTATCAACATCTTTATTTTCCATTTTATTTAATCTAAAAAAAAACTGAAATTTTATTTAATCAGAATCAAATGTAAACAATGTTTATTTAACCCCTCTGTCTCCCGCGACCACTTCAGCAAAATTGAAAATTAGGTAGGAAAAGTGCGACAAAAAATAGACACCCTGCTACAACTTTTTTTTCAATGAAATTTTCCAGGTGCATAGATAAATGAAAAACTTAAAAAAAAGAATAGTATAGAAAAAAAAAAGAGCATACCTTCGACATTAATTTCATGCCCAAAGTACAACAAAGTTTTAGACATCAAAAAACTCAATAAAAAAGCCATCCAGTAAAATAATGAAGCTAACAGTAATAAAGATTAACTATTTTAGTTTCTAAAAATAATCTATATTGATATCAAATTCTAAAAAGTTTTTTAACTAAACACGTCTTCCCAACGCTAGTTAAAAAAAAATCTAAAATGCGTGGCACAGTTTTTTAGCACATAATTCGGTTCCGTAAAACGGATATTTCCACGTACCTACAAAAATGTTTCTGTTTATTATTACCCTTATATGGTGCTTTTAGTAATGCTGCAATTTTGAAACTTGGTACAAAAGATTTGATTCCAAAAGAGCTTAAAACCTGCTAAGCCCGAAAACTTTAGTTTTATATATTTAAAAATAACATATAAACAAAAACAAACAAAATCTTTTAAGCTGAAGACACTGGTCACAACAATCCAACAAAAATTTCTTTTAAAAAATAAAAAATAAAAAATAAATTAAGTATTGAGAGAAAATCGTATTTATTGATGTTTATAAAATAATAATTTACATACTCTCATACATGATGTCTACATTCAATATATATATATATATATATATATATATATATATATATATATATATATATATATATATATATATATATATATATATATATATATATATGTATAAATTATGTTGTGTATTCTCCAATATATATATATATATATATATATATATATATATATATATATATATATATATATATATATTATATATATACAATATATATATTTATATATATATATATATATATAGATATATATACATATTTAATATATATATATATATATATATATATATATATATATATATATATATATATGTATATAAATATGTATATATATATCTATATACATATAATATATATATATAAATATGTATATATATCTATATACACATAATATATATATAAATATATATATATATATATATATATATATATATACATATATATATTGTATATATATATATATATATATATATATATATATATATATATATATATATATATATATATATATATATATATATATATATGTATATATATACATATATATATTGTATATATATATATATATATTGTATATATATATATATATATATATATATATATATATATATATATATATATATATATATATATATATATATATATATATATATATATATATATATATATTGTATATATATATATATATATATATATATATATATATATATATATATAAATATATATATATATATATATATATATATATATATATATATATATATATATATATATATATATATTTATTTGGGTGTCCAAAAAAAAAAACATTTTTGAAAATAATCTGCTCTCACCCCCTAAATGTGTTCTATCTAATGCAAAAACACTAGGTTTAAATTTTTTTTGAATAAAAAATCTTTTAAGGGGTCCCTCAATGCCCTCAAATATTTAATGGGTCCCCAATATTTTCGAAAAAAAGTTTTTCAAAAATATGTCAACCTGGTACTCAAATGAAGTGAAATTATATAAATATTTCAAAAATAATATTTATTTCGAAATATTTTTAACTTATCAAAATTATTATAAAAAAACATTAGAAATGCATTTTTTTATTTTTTCTTAAAAAAACAATTTTTTATGTAATAAAACCAAAAATAACAATTTTGTTTCAAAATGAGCATTATTTTTAAAATTTTATATGTTGATAACTAGGTCGTGTTACTGTGTTGTTTCATTTAATTTGATGATTGTTCTATTGTGGGTTTTATTTATAATATATATATATATATATATATATATATATATATATATATATATTATATATATATATATATATATATATATATATATATATATTATAATGTTTACATGAAGCATACATATTTATTTTATATATGTGTGTGTGTGTGTGTGTGTGTGTGTGTGTGTGTGTGTGTGTGTGTGTGTGTGTGTGTGCGTATTGATCAGTGTTATATACTGTTGGAAATACAGCTCTAAAAGGGAAAAAAAATTTAGTTATGCTATATCGCTTTGATTTGGTCAAGTGTTGCATATTTGATGTCAGATGCCGTTACAAGGCTAAACTTGTATTTTTTAAAATGGATTTTTATATATGTATGTATTTATTTATGTATATATATATGTACACATAAATTATGTTAGTGTATTCTACAAATAGAGTGATGTCTGCAATGTTCTTAAAGAACAGAGCAATCAGGGCTGTGAGTTTGTTTAGTGTATAGCGATTCTTTACAGTTATTTACTATTGGAGCCGGAGTCGCGAGTTTGTTTAGTGACTCTGACTCCACTGTTAGTGGAGTCAGAGTCACTAAACAAACTCACGACTCCGGCTCCAATAGTAAAACTTCTCGGTATTGCATGTTAATTTACAAAATATTTAACTTTTAAAGAGCATTTCATATATTTGACAAAAAAAATTTTTTTATTTATTTATCGTGTAATATTTTTTAAAGAATTCAAAGAAATGTTTATTCAATTTTTATTCAAAATTCAAAAAAGTTTTGATTTGGAGATGGAGTCGTTCTCTAAAAATTTCAGCGATTAAAAGTTGGTACTTTTTTTTTCCCAACTCTACATGCCTGAGAGCAATAATAAATTTGTAATAAAACTTATCTAATTCTCTTTGTCACCTTGTTTTTCCATCAGTAGGTTCATCAGGAAGCTTCCTGATGAAGCTACTGATGGAGAAACAAGGTGACAAAGAGAATTAGATAAATGATTTTACTAATTTATATATATATATATATATATATATATATATATATATATATATATATATATATATATATATATATATATATATATATATATATATATATACATATATATATATGTTTGTGTATAGGTAGCGATTCTTTACAGTTAGACAAAAACGTTATAATTTTCTTGAACTATACTTGTTTATATCTTTTTTTAAGTTAAACATGAAACTTAAGATTTTTTGCATTATTCAGTTTAAATTTACCTTTTCCAACCATTTATAGAAAGTACTATTTACTACTTTATATACTATTTATATGGCTTCACTTATTTGTTTTACTTTTCAGAGTTTCAGAGAAAAGTTATGGTCAAACTTTCTGAAATTAACATTATAAATTAACATTAACTGAATAAACATTTTAGTAAATAAAACTGCACAGTTTTCTAATGATCCAGAAGGTTATAAACAACTTAAAAGTTCAGATGAACTTAATGTTTTGAAAAGAAAAATTGCAAATGGAGATATCCAATACATCACTTTTGTGTGCATGAATTATATCTTTATAGTTTATATATTATTACAATATTTCTTTTGAATTGTCATGAACATTTTCAATGTTTCTTTTGCATTATTTCTTTTTAGGTAAAACAGTTATCATTAATTGGAGGTAAAAATTCAGTTGATACAATTAAAAATATTTTGCTCTTGTAAGTAATTAGCATAAGTTTGAATTTTAACATTTATGTTTGACAGCATGACATTTATCATATTTTTTATATGTAGACTGACAACAGATACTATTTTCAGAATGCAGCATGAATGGTCTAAAGAAGAAAAAAAAGTTTAAAAAGTTGACAAGTCTATGTATTGCTATCACTGGTATTCTTATTAGCTTATTATTGTGTTTAATTTACTTTTAAAATTAAAAACGATCTTTTAATAAAAAAAAAAATTTTCTCAATTTTTTTGGCTATGAAACATGACATATTTTATTTTATGATCTTATTGAACTATGTCTTGTTGTTTTTATTAGATGCTGCTTCAAAGTCAAATAAAAGCTTAACCAAAATAGAGCTTATTGGGAGATTAATTAGGCATTCTTCTGACCGATTCGAGAGAAAATCCACCAATATCCATATTGATCAATGATGGCTTAATTAACTTCAATCAACTGTTGTGTTTTTTGTTTATTTTGCATTTTTCAGTAATTTTCTTTTTACTTATAATATACTATCGATTATACTCTACAAAAAATATTAGTTTTTAATTTGGAAAGTGTAACTTTGTTTGAATATTTTTTCCAAGTTTTTGTAAAGTTAATAATTTATTTTAAATAAATGAAATTACACTTTATGAACTTTGATTTCTCTTTATACCTTCACTTGCCCTCTAAGGTGTGTATTGTATATCATTGCATTTTTATATAACTTTTAAAAGAATGTCTAGGTAAATTTACGTCTCTAGGACGTCTGAATAAGACGTCCTTAAGTCTTTCACATGAGACCTGCCAGAGACGTTTATAGGACGGCTGAAAAGACATCTCTAGGACGTCTACAATAAACGTCCCTAGGACATCTTGAAAAGACGTCTTTAGGACGTCTGTAATAGACGTCCTCAGGTCTTTCATTTGAGACCAACTAAGGACGTCATACGGACGAGACTTGGGACGTTTTATAAACGTCCTTAGGACGTCAAAATGCCCGTTGGGTAAAAAAGTTAAATTGTTATAACTAGAGAGACAGACCAAATAACGAATTTTAATTCTATTTTTTTTTTTTTTTTATTTTATTTGACCGACACGCAAACCAAATCAAACTACTTTTAGGTCATTCTGGTACCGGCCGGAATTACGTTTTTCCAGGCCGGAATGCCAGATTTTATTTTTACCTTAATTTTTTAAGACGTGATACAGAGTGTTTAAACGAAATCAAAGAATCATTGTTCTACAAGGCTATGAAGAACTATAGGTAAACCTTGTACGCCTCATCTCCTTTAAATTTCCAACGCTTTTAACCTACCTACCTAACATTTTAGGATATTTTTTTTTTAATTTAGTGTCTCCTTACTTTTATAATTGACCTCCTGCCCCTATCTCAAATACACCATTTGCAGACTTACTCTTCCCATCAGGGCATACGTACTTTATGGACAATCCCAAAGTATAACTCTCGTTCTGGCTGGAATTTTATCAACACCCACACCCCAACATTCAATCTGATTAAACCGATTACTGATTTCTAAGACCATTTTTACGGTTTTTCTATTTAGAGACCTAGTGTTTTTTTTTTCCTTCATAAATCAGTGTTTACGTTCTATGATATACCCTCTAAATAGCTCTTCAAATCATGCGAGAAAACTACAAACTACTTGTAACGTTATCGTGAACAATAGGAAAAAGAATAGTAAAACATTTTTTTTTTAAACTATTTTTACTTTAACTTTTATTTCCGTATATTTAATAAATTATTACAACTAAATAATTAAACTAGTTGTAATTTCCCCTCCTGTGTTGCCATCTTGGATAAGTTAAAAGAAGTAGCTCTAACCTTGGTTTCAAAACTGATTTTGTTGAAAAAGTAGAATGAGAACAAAAACGTTTTACAACGAACCTAGCAACCGTCTCATTATTAAAATTATGCATCAAAACCATTTGAAATCGACGTATTCAACTCTGAATTATATACCTTCATCCATCAGATTACAGAGAGATTTAAAGTTTTGAGACAGCAATGTAGATTATCTTCCTTCATCTGATCTATACCTGACATCAATTCGGACCTAACAAACAATCAAGGATCTAAATTTAAAGATCTCAAACTTCGGTATCCAAAAGACCTTAATCAAGACAACTTTATTGATAAGTTTCGCCACTTTTCGCCATCTACTGACAAATGATCGACCCTTAGATCTTCTGAATAGCATTTATGCGAAGGGATTTGAAAAAAATTGATAAAGTAAGAAAGATACGAAGACGTATCTTTCTTACTTTATCAATATCTGCGGCTGATGGCGAGAGATCTTTAAGCAAGTTAGTTCTCGTCGAGAACTCTCTAAGAGCTACCATAGGACAAGATCGTCTGAACAACTGTCTTATCTTTTGAATCGAAACAGATCTTGCAAAGAAAGTTAATTACAATGTTGTAACTTTGCTGCTAGAAAAGGTTGTAAAGTCTTAGTATAGCGTCAGAAAAACTTGATTCCAAATCCAGAAATGTTTTTTTTTCTTTGTTGTGTTTAATTATTTGATTCGTGAACTGTCTTAAATACAGAATTTTTAAAATATTTTGTGAATACTACAAATAATAGCTTTATTTTTCTTATTATTTTTATTTTGGTGGTGGTTAGAGGAGGGCATCCAGTAAACATTTTTTATAACATACCGCGGGCAGCATGAAGTCTCTGTGCGCCCCTATATATATATATATATATATATATATATATATATATATATATATATATATATATATATATATATATATATATATATATATATATATATATATATATATATATATATACATATAGCGTTGAAAAAAGAAGTGTGCAAGTTAAAATTTTCAGTATTTCGAGTGCAATAATTGTGTGTTTTAATAAAAAAAATTATTAAACGAATTTTTAGTTTAATATGAAAATCAAACACAATTATAAACCTTTACAAGATCTTGAAATTTTAGAATTTTTTAATTAAACGTATTGGATTTTTTAGATTTGAATTTTTAAGTAAACCTATTTTGGATATTAGATCGTAAAGGATAAAATGTCATATTTCTTTTGGAAGTGCGTTGTAGTCTAAACAGTGCAACAATAACTTAGATGTTAGAAGAACAAGGAATAAGAAACTGATATTAGAATATGTTGCGGAAGATAGTGCTGTATTAATGACAACATACTAGGCACGTGAGCGTTTTTTATTTAATTGAATTAGTTGATCGTATCTCGGGGTTTTTGTGAAGAAAAATCCCAAGGTAATTTATATATTTAAATGGAAAAAGTCTTTTACCATTAATTCTAATTTTTACATTGTTTTGTTGATATTTTGCGAAATACGGTTACTATTTAACCAAAGACACAAATGATGGAGATCTAAATAAATTTTTTTACAAAACTCCGCAATTGATTTATTTATGCCTAGAAGAGGTGTCGTAAGCGAAATTATGAACAATCGAATTATTTATAGAGTGAGGCAAATCGTTAATATATACTAAAAACAGTAAAGGCCATAGAACAAAAAGCTGTGGGACAACACACCTAATAAATGTACTTGTGGATTGAAACCTAAAATTGAGACAAACTAAGTACAATTTTTTAATATAGGTTGAAAACCAATCCTTAGCAATACCCCGTATACCATAGTAATACAATTTTTCAATTAAAATCTTGTGGTCAAATGTATCAAATATTTTTTGGAGATCAATAAAAATGCCACAAGCAAAAGAACCACTATCAATGGAACCACGAATCATTTTATTAATGCTAATAAGTGCATGGGAAGAAACATGTTTTAAATAAACTGGCTGTTGCAGAGGCACTTATAATTATTAAGAAAGTACTACATACAAAATTACATTAATTTTTCAAGAATTTAGCTGATATTTGATAATAATGATATTGGCCTATAGCGATTGCAGTCAAGTTTTGAATCCTTTTTATGGATTGATTTAACGGTTGCAGTTTTTAAAATATTAGGGAATATCCCAGTAGCGGATGAGAGATTAAACAGTTTAAAAAATAATAAAGGAATTAGCAAGAAGTTTTATAATAAAGGTTGAAACTGTTTGGATCAGAAACCATCAGAAGTTTGGACCAAAAGCCATCAGCGCTGTTTGGACCAGAAGCCATCAGAAGCCTTGCCATCATTTAGAGAAAGAATAACTGCTATAAATTTTATTTATTTCATTTTAATGAAAAGAGAGTCAGTGTTTGATATTTTTAAATACTTTAGGATGTCAGTATGGGACGAATGATTTTTTTTTTTTTGCAATTCTTTAGGAATTGAAATAAAAAAGGAATTCGAAATGTTTTATTTGAATTATTTATAACAGTGTTGTTTGAAGATATACAAGATAGATTTGAGATATCATCCGTACGTATATTTAAATGAGTTCTAGTACCCTTCTGAGTTCTAATACCCAGCTTTTAAACTATTGCTTTGGTAGTAAAGTAGTTAGAAAAGTTCTTTTTACTTCTTCGAATGAGTATTACAAGTAAATTTCTATGGAATTAGTTTTTAATGTAGATTTTTTGTTTTAAGGAACTTCTAAAATATATTGTTTCTTTTTCTTTGCTGAAGTAATTGCTGAAGTAATCCATGGTTTAAAGCTCCGAGTTAAGCCACGGTTGCTTAGTTTTTTTGGCGGTGCGTGTGTGTCCAGAAGAGAATTAAAGCTAGTGAAAAAATCCTCATATTATATATTTGTATTACCAATGGAAACTTTGATTATTTTATCTCAGTTAATTTTCAAGTAATTATTCCTGAATTCTTTACTATTTAATTTTTTTGAAGTTTTGAAGAAGAATATTCCTTTCACTAGAATTATTATTTCTTTTTTTAAAAGATAAATAAATTAGAAACTGTGTCATATTTTTTTTTTCTTTTTTTTTTTTTTTTGTTTTTATTACAATATACTATGGTATAAATATCGTTGTACATTAAATATCAGAACACGGAGACTCAAAGAGGATCGTAAGATCCTGTCACTGAGAACCGTTTAAAAATACAGTAAAAATAAAACCAGTTAAATAATTACAATAAATGACGTTTAAAAATAAAATTTAAATTTAACCAGAGATTTCATATAAAATTTCAAATAAAATTTAAATTTCAAATCAAATTTCAAATAAAATTTAAATTTAACCAGATATTTCAAAATATAAAATAACGTTTAAGAACATAAAGAATATATATAAAACTAAATATTTCAAACTAAAACAATATATTCAGGAACCACAAAGGTATAAACTCAAAAGAACTCAAAGATATTATCATTTGACAAGATAACTTTTTTCAACTTAATTTTAAAAGTGAGAAAACTCCAACTTAGGGAAAAATCAAAATTTTTCAAAACTGTTTTGTTCCACAGAAGAGCTCCGCGATATGTTAAAAGAGATCTTCCAAAACTTGTATGAGAATAATGTTGATAAATAAGATTATCATTTCTTAAGTCATATTTGTTTTTTTGTTTTATTGTATATAAATTTTGAAAGGATATAGGGATTAGGTTTATCTTACATTTGTACATAAATAAAAGAACATTAAAAACATTTTGCTGGTATATATTAAGAACATTCATTTCCAATAAAAGAGGTCTGGCATGAGTATAACGATCTTTAAAGTTTATTAAACGCGCTATATGCTTCTGTTGCGGATATAGAGGATCTAATTGAATTTTTTTAGCACTATCCCATGCGATATTTGCATAGTTTATATGGCATTGAATTAGCGAGTGATAAAGTTGAATTAATGAATGTCTATTTACAAAGTTTCTCGCTTTATACATTACACCAATATTTTTTGAAACTTTATTGCGCAAAATTTCGATATGGTTTTTCCAAGTTAGATTTTCATCAATGAAATCATCAAGGAAATGTATAACTTTTGATTTTTTTATTTGAACATTATCAATATATATTTGAGGCATATCATTTGAATGAAATAAAGTCCATTTAGTTTTTTCCAAGTTAAAGGATAGTTTATTTGACCTAAACCAATTTGAAATTTTAATTAGTTCTATGTTGATTTCATTAAATAGTGTAATGATATTTTTACCGGATAGAAAAAGATTTGTATTATCAGCAAACATTACTGTCTTCAAACTTAAGGCATTGTGCAGATCATTAACATAAATGAGAAAAAGTAGTGGCCCTAGTATAGACCCTTGGGGAACATCACATGTTATATCTAATAAACTTGTTGAGGAGGAAACGTCAATTTGTACAAACTGGTTCCGATTGCTTATATAGCTTTTTAGCAAATTTAATAAATTTCCGCTGATTCCATAGTTTTAAGTTTTTTTATAAGAATCTCATGATCTATCGTATCAAAGGCTTTTGATAGATCAATGAAAACTCCAAGAGTAAATTGTGATTTCACTGATCTGATATTCTAATAGTTAGATTGCGGGAAAAAATATCTTTAAAAGTTGAATTAAAAAATATATTATCAATTAATGTACTTGAGTGATTAGTATTTCTTGTCGGTAAGGATATAAAAGGAAGAAAGTTGTTTGAAGCAATGATGTTCAAATACTCCGAGATTTGATTATCTGAATTTACTTTTATAAGATCTATATTAAAATTAGTCATTATAAAGTTAGTTTTATTTTTTTCAACCGTGAGTTTTTGAAATAGAATAGCTAAATCTGACCCATTAAGTTTATTAATATCCATGGCGGTGGATATTAATGAATTTAATTATATCCACCACCATGGATATTTAATTACAATGGCGATAACAATTTAATTAGGAAGGCGATAAACTCAGTCTACTATAATCTTAGACTTTTTAGGGAAAAAGATAATAAATTAGTTTATTAGAAATATAAAGTAGAGTACCCCCGGTACGTGCCCCCTAAATGAAGGCTTTGTTGGAGTATGTTCATACACATATCTACTAAGATTTGTTGGGCTTGTTAGGAGTAAATCAAATTTCAGCTTTTTTGTTTTTGTAATTCCGATTATTCTAAATTCATAATTTATTAAAATATAAAATTCTAGTTAATTCGTCAAAATGCTTAACTAATAAGGCGAAATTTAAATGAAATAGAGATTTAACAATTAATATTGATGTTTGAAGAGTTAAGATTTTCTATGTATTTACTTTGTCTATGTATTTACAATTGATTGGGTTCTTAACTATGTTCATATCATTATCGTTTTTGTTATTTAGTTGATAAGTATAGTAATTATTAAGTTAATTATTAAGTTAATTAAAAGCATAAGATTCTCGGGAGCAAGAAAAGAGGAAAGGTCATTTGGTAGATCGTTGAGATGTAATATATTGTCAATTAAAGTTTGAAGCCATAGTTAATTATCCGATACATAACTAAAAGGAAAAACTACTGAGCCAAAAATTCATGAAAGAGTTTTTTGATAAACTAAAATCATTATTATTCAAAGAACTACGTTTCTAGTGGATTAAACTTAAATAATGGTTGCATTGAAGTGAATGATGGTTAGTACAAATATTTTTATCACAATTTTTGTATAGTATAGTATATATATATATATATATATATATATATATATATATATATATATATATATATATATATATATATATATATATATATATATATATATATATATATATATATATATATATATATATATATATATATATGGCTTCACATTACTTTTCAAAATAAATAAAATTTATATAAGTAAATGATTACTCACGGACGCTACAGGCGCACCAGAGTTTAATAGTTTTGTAGATTTACTTTATATAAGTAAACTTTAGATTTGTTTTTGTAATTATTTCGTAATTTATGGTAATTATTTTGTGTTATAGCTATATATGGTCAAATTATGCATAATTTATTTGGTCATTCATGTCAAATACCGTAGTAACCATTATCTTGAAACTTTTTTATTGTATATTTAATATTACGATTGTAAATATAGGATTAAGTAAGATCAATATAAAGCCAAATATAACGGTTGAACCTTAAGTTTTTTTTTCTCAATATAACACCAATATAACGTCAACGTTGAGCAAATATAACGGATAAAAAAATGCCAAATATAACGCTAATATAACGGTTAACTTAAGCGTTAGATTTTTTTGTTTATTTTGGCGTTAGTTTTTTTTTAAATGATCTTATCAAGTTCCAATTTTCAAACCCTCTAAAGCAAAGGTATGTTTTTCTAGTTAACTAAAACTATATTTTTTAAAAACATATTAATATGTTATAACTTGCTTAAGTATGTGAAAAAAATTTTTGAATTTATATCATTAAACAATGCAAATGTCTTTTATACAATATGTTAAATATTATCATAATATAATCCGAAACATCTTCAACAATAAATCCTTTAGGGACTTTTTATCCAAAATCTCTTAGGTTTTGAGGTCAATCTTTTAACCACAAAATTATCCTTGTTAATCTTTCTCCAACTACTGGATCATTTTGCTGTGAGTGGTAGTAAAACCAACCAATCCTAATATATACATTACCATGTAGGTCTAGTTGGCGGTCTTTTCTATTACTAATATAAGTAGAAATAATTGGATTTGTTAGCAGATTAAAGATTTAAATGTTTCTGTAATAAAATCTTTTTTGGAGAAAAAGAATTTATAAATTTGCTGGCTTCTTACTCATTTATCTTTACAGTGTTTAATGAAGTAGCGTTTGTATAAAAGAAAATGAACTATTTTATGGCTAATTCACTTTTTGTTAAGGTGGTCGTCTAGTAAAAACTTTCTTTTCATAACTTTCTTAAAACAAAGAGTTCTAGTTATCTGTACATTCATTTTCTATGATGTTTGGTTTGCATGCAAGATATACATAGAATTAGTATGTGAACCAGTAAAATCCTATAACTATGGTTAGATCCATAATGGCAGCTCTATAAATTTGGGGAAATTAAAAAAGGGGTAAAATTCAACAAAAACCATCACATAATTCATAAAATACTCGAAGAATTAAAAAGATTATGTTTCACATACTAACTTATATACAAGCAAACAAACCCTAAAAATTTGATTCAAAAATAATTTGTAGAAGCTGAGATATGCTTTTTTTAAGCCTGAAATCTCACAAACAGAGAAAACTAACAGAATAAAAAAGTTAAAATTACCCTTTAACTACTTTCTCTTTCTAAGTGTTTTTCTTTATCAATATTCCTTCTAAGCTTTAAGCTTTTTCATTCTTAAAAAAATTAATATTATCAGGTTTGGTCAATAATTTTGACCAAAACAACCAAAAAATATTGTTCCTAAGGACGTTGCCAAGGGAACAAACTAGTACATGTCATTATAGGAAGTAAATTTTGGAAAAATCTAATTAAAAAACATGTGTAAAAGTATTTTCTAGAAGAGCAAAAATTTTTCTTTTTAATTGCACCAATAACATAAATTTGATTTTTTTCATATTTTTTATTAGACGACCATCTTAAGCTGCTTTTGTTCGGCTCGTTTTACAGCTAGGTTTATGTATAGAGGAAAGCGGGGCAAGATGGGTTTTCATATAAAAAATCAACAAAAAATCTTAAAGTTGAGTGAAAACAAAACTATATTTGCATTTTGTATTTTAAAACACCAATTGCTTTTTTGAAATATTATTAACGCAATTTTATACGCATAAGTTTACTTTTTGCGCTTAAAAAAAAATTCCTCACTTTCGGTTTCACATACTGGATGGTGTTCTTCAGGTTTAACTTCTTTAGAAATAGTTTTTTGCGATTTGTGTTTATTTTTTGTTACTTTAGTTAGAGTTATTGATAGTTTTTAAAATTCTATAAAATTGGAGATAAAAATTGTTTAATTAGTCATCTTGCCCCGGTCACATGACCAGATGACAAATTTTGTGTAAAGATTGAGTACAACCTCCCATTTTTTTAAAATGGCCCCTATTTTACTTTAGGCGTAATTTTCTCACTACTTTTAAAGTTGCCCTTTCTTCAGCTTTACTGCTTTATATTACTTGAACCCCTTTGTCGCTATTACCTTTAAATCTTTATTTATTTTATAAATTTCAATCACAATTTAATCAAAGTACAATTAATTGCGCTCATTACTAATAGGAGTAGAAAAAATGGTGAGTATGTTGAGTATATTTTACTAAAACCGCATCTTTGAATAATGTGTAACAATGGCACAACATTTCATGCAATTGCTTTCATTAAATTTGTAACAATGGCACAACACTTGGTACAATTGGTGTTTTTGAATTATTGATTTTACCTCGTCGAATTATTAAATATAGATTTATTTTTCTATAAAGTTTAAGGTTACTTTTAGCGTTGTTTTAAATAAAACAATTTTTTATTGTTTTATTTTAAAATCATTTAAATATTAGATAAGGTTTCTATTTTGCGAAAACATCAACACCTTCCTTCATTAGAGATAAAGCAAAAGAAACGATAATGGAAAGTGTTGTGTTTGCGTGATGTCACTCACGCCAGTTGTCAAAGCTTTTGTTTGAAATTAACACTTTTTATGTGTTCTCTAGCTTTAAGCATGTTTATTAATAGATTTCTTTTTTAACCAAGAGGGTTCTAGTTTTTGTTTGTTAACGTAATTTCAAATTTTATTTTTATTGGATAAAAGTAGTTTCCTATATGGAAGAGTTTATACTTGTTTGAATGAAACTTAGGATAAAATATAAGTAGTTAAATAAAATAAGTTACAAAAAAGAGAACAGCAAAAAAAGTTTTGAATATGAGTTGTGGTAAGTGTTGCTTAATCTTTTAAAATTTATTAAATTGATAAAAAAGTTCTACCTATTCCACATGTTTGTGGAATAGGTAGAACTTTTGTATCAATGTGGTTTAAACTTATCGTATAAAGTAAAAGTTTTTTTTACTTTATTATTATCATTTTTTTTTTTTTTTTCTCCAGGTATACCTTATAAAATATACATTTGTTATCGTGAAAAAGAGAAAAAATCTATACAAAATTATTACGTATCAGATTGCTAAAAATACATTACTATAATATTGATACATTAATGTAATATTGATGCAAATTTTAATATAAATTCTGGTATAATAACTATTATTTATATATGTTTTTTTTCTAAACTTCAATACCTGAAAAAGGAAATCAAAAAAAAATTTTTCGCAGATTCCTTTAACAGCCATTAAGTGCCATTAAGCGCCGTTAGGCGTATATCTATGTCTATATAAAAAGTTAATTAAATTTAAAAATAATTTTTTTTGTAATTAGCTTTGTAATTACTATTTCTACTGTTATCATTTTTTTTTTCCTTTTTTTCATTTTTTTTCTTTTTCTTTTTATTTCATTTTAATTTATTGCAATCATTTTTACAAATTAACAACTTTGCTTGCGGTTTAAACGACGATATTATATTTAAGACTTTTAATTTTTGATTTTTAATGTTTTTCATATTTTGGGACCCTGTGACATAATTGAAAATTCGGAACCCCGGGTTTTAGTTTTTTTAATATAATAGTTATGGAAGCTATTTGATCGGAAATTATAAATTTGAGAAAATGATGACGAAAATATGTCTAAAAAAGAATCTGGTAACATATTATTTTCCTATTTAAACATAAAATTAAGAATCTTTGAGCAGTATTTATAGTTCTGGCTCGGAACCCAGAGGTCCGAGGTTCGATGCCAGCTCCAGCCAAACAAGCGACATTGGTACGGAAGGAGGCGTGAACATCTTGTTAAATGCTCTCCCGCGGTGCTCTGTGATAAGACCGTAAGGACTTCTTCGAGCACCTATTGCAGTTGATATTTTTGATTCAGTGTGTCCATTATGATTTCTCCATGATAAATTTTTATCAATTTGAATACCAAAAAACTTTGCATATTTTCCCCGTTTTATTGTTATGTTTTTAACGAGCAACTCAATAATTTTCAAAGGTAGAGACATTGATTGACCTATTTTATGAAATAAGATGTATTTGGTTTTTTCATAGAATAGAATATAATCTAAAAATGCAAAACTGATTAAACAAAACTTTTGAAGGTTTTTCACAAATTTTCAAATTTCTATTTGAAAATTTGTGAAATAACTTTAACAAAATTTCTAAATAAATAGAATAAAGCAAATGAAAAACGAGCAGCTTTAATAAAGTTCTTGTAGTTGAAGCATGCGTTATAGTTAAACTCAAATAAATTAATAATGCTTTGAAGAAAACTTTTCCTTCTCGCATTTGTTACTTTTCTTTTATAACATTAACATAAACTAGACAATCTATATGTTTATCTAGTTTATGATTAATTTTAAAAACAAATCGTAACACGTTGGTATATTCTTAACAGCTTTTTTATTTATTAAAAATTTCTTAATAACCTTTACAGCAAGTTAAAAATTTTATTTTATTTATAAAACAGAATAACTAATCGCATTAATGGTTAAGTAAAAAAAAATAAGAATATATATAAAAGAACTAACTATTATACTGCAGTATGGTTGTGAATTCGTGCATATTAGTACATGCGGCCTTGGTCTTAGTCTTTGCCTTAGGTGCTCATTTGGTGAAGTACTTGTGAGATAAGTACTGTCTCACGCAAATTTAGTATAGACAAAAAAAGAATTTTGAAAGACTATCTTATAAAAAGGTCCTAAATAAATTAAAGTTTAATACATAATCAAGCAAAAGAATTCCAACATAAATTAAAGTTTTAAATTATAAACCAAAACTTATCATCAACCCTGACGGCACTATATAGTGCTGCTATCAGTTTATGATACTCTTGCTTTGCTATCTTTCTTCAAAAAACAAAATAATGCAAATAACGCCCTGTTTCTACTTATTCAGCAAAATGGGTCAGTAGAAACAGGTCTATAAATTCATGTTTGTTTCCTTTTAAAACTTAGGTGAGTTGAAACAAGAAAAAATACAATGTACTGTTAATTACACAAATTGTTAAATAAACAAAAAGCTCATACGTCATAGATAGTATAAAACAAAATATAATTGATACTTTAGAAAAATAGTTATAATTTGTAATACATGTTGTTATATCTTTAAAATAAAGTATGTTTGTTAAAACGAGATTTTGATTTAGATTTGGGGAGAACAATATTTTAATTTTTTCGTCACTTATTGTAAAATTCATTTTATGAGACACTCGAATCATTAATGTTCATACAAAACAATAATTTTTGAGATAGCTCACTTTAAAAATGTAATGCCTAAAGCAGTTTTTGTTTTACCA